TCCTCTTCGGCTAGTTTATATATATATATATATATATATATCACAAAAGAGGCAATAGATTGTGGTACATTTTAGAGGAACATTTTCCGACTAAACTGCACCAATATCTACTGCTAATATTTTATATTATTCAAGACAATATAAAAAGTATATATATTTGTTCCATAAACGATGTGGGACTCCGACAATAATGTTATACGATTTCTTAAAGTGATATTGTAATTTTTCTAAATTAATTACTATATCTAAAAAATTCTCGAATACTTTGTCCTCCTTAGTCGGTGTTCGGTTCTTTCCAGATCTACAAAAAAATTCTAGAGCATGAACGGAAATTTTGCAATTAAGGTTTTTTTTCTTAAAAAGTCAATCTACTTTCTTTGATAACCGCAAAGTCATTCAATTTATTTTACCTATAAAATCGTTCAACCTATTTAATTGAATTTTTCATGGGAAACTTGTAGAAACCCCACTAGTTTAGGAGATAATTACTTAGATGCACTCTAATTTGCAATATTACGAATTTTATCAGATTTTGGTGCATCTAGATATGTCCAAATGCATGTATCTCTAGATATATGAGATCAAAATTAAGAGTAATTTATTTTAGATACACTGACCTGGAACAATTGTGGATATACTAATTGTTAGCAGTAGCACACAACACTTTAAAATATTTCTCTAAGCACTTCTTTTATACTTCTCTAACACTAAAAGAAGCACTATATCTAAGAAATATGGAAGAGGCGATTTGGGAGATAGTAATCAATTTACAATGACTATAATATCACATGTAGATTCGGAAAGAAGTAATTACTCGACTAAGCAGAACAGAGTATTCGAGAATTTTCTAAATATAGTAATTAATTTATGATGACTACAATATCACTTTAAGAGATCGTATAACATTAATGTTGGAATCCCACATTATTTGTGAAATAAGAATATAGACTCGTTATATAGTATTGAATAGTATAAAAATATAATTAAACATGTAGATGCAATTTAGTCGGAAAATGCTCAACTAAATTGTTCATACATGCTCAATTCTTTTGTCAAAAAAATATCTTGCAAGTAAATGGTATCTTCCTCTATGGTAAGGTTCAATGAAAATCAAATACTTACCACCTTTATATTATGAAAATCCTATACTTACATCCTTAAGACGTTATCTTTTCTTCTTTTTTTTCAAAAAAAAAAAAAACCCTTTTCTATATGAAAATCCTACCCAAATGAAATTTCATCCAAGTACATTTAAGATAATTTTGAAGCAAAACAACAAATAAATACAAAAATAAAAAAGATAAATTCTATATAATAAAATATTTTAATTAACTAAAATTACAAATAACTTAACATATTTAAAATGCAAGAAAATTACTGCTAATAGCTGGTATACCTTATTAGATAATTTGTGTTCATTTTCCTATTTTCCGTCTTTCAAATGATAAATGTTTTTATAATTTTTACTTTTTTTTTTGTCTAATTATTGTTTATCTTCATTTTAAAATTTCATAAAAGTAACAAAAAAAAGTTTTTACAAAGAAACGGTGACTTGTTGTTAAGATCATATTTCAGATAGTCACTCAATTAAGCGTTCTTTCCATAGAAAGTCACTCAATTTTCTCTTATAATTTTAAAGTCACTCAACTATGAATGTTTTACCTACAAAATCACTCAACCTATTTAATTTATTTTTTCATTAGAATTTTTAGACATGCAATTTTATTTAAAGCCAAAATTGTAAGCTAAGAAATAAAGAGATATTCCCTCAAACCATTTAATTATTGACCCGTCCCCACTTGATCCACCCTACTCGAAATATAGCGCTGACCCTTTTCAATACTAATGGTTAGCAATAGCACATAACACTTTAAAATATTTCTCTAATAACTTGTTTTATATTTCTCTACCACGAAAAGAAGCAATATATCTAAGAAATATGGAAGAGGTGACTTGAGAGATATTACTTTAGGATTTAAATTTATTGAAACAATTACTTTTGAAAAATCTCAAGACAAATGAATTAGATTGTTTTTGATAGGTTCTCTGCTCAAAGAAAAACAATCCAAAGAGATAGTATGCCATGTAACGAGCAAAGACAAGGGAGGGTTAGAGAGCAAGATAATGAATTATGATGCCAAGAGATTTATGTCATATATATGGTTACTGCTCGTTTACCAAGGGGAGAACTTCTCATGAAATCGCGAACAACAAACCACTCATATTGTCACAATCCAAAACACCTAATCGATAGGAACGATGTGCGGTGTGTATAAAGGGCATGGACTAGCTATTTTGAGTAGATTGTCGTAGATATAAAAATTTAGTATTGTCTTATTCTTTATGTGGTTACATTACTAATCATGATATAACTTAAACAAAAAAAGTCGGGACTATTCCTCGACAAAACCATGAAATGAAAAAATATAGGAAAAACTACATAATTATACATAGTTCACTACCATATTTACTAATAGTATCTATACTTTTAAAATATTACGTATTTTACTACTAATTAAGCGTTTCCTACCATATATTGAGGAATATATACCTAGATACATGTATTTTTACTACTAGATACATGAAAATAGGGAGAGGTGGACGAGATTGGGGAGGGACACGAGCGAGATTCGTATGTATCTCGGATACATGCGAATCACACAAGATACATACATTTGTATGCAACTGGTGTGATTTGCATGTATCCAAGATACCAGATACATACAAGAGAGAGAGAGACGAACGAGACTTGTTATGTATACCAGATACATGCGAATCCACTTAGATACAATGTATCTAAAAGAAATTTGACTCAATGTATCTTGAGATACATGTATCTCTGGATGTATCTAGATGCACAAAAATAAGGTAAGGTACGTAATATTACAAACTAGAGTATATTCAAGTAATTGACTCCTAAACTAGTAGGATTCATCCAAGGGTATTATGATCTTAAACAACTACAATAACGAGGTATCACATTACATTGAATAAGAACATCGAGAGAAAATAGTCAAATTTCAAGTGGCTGAAATTATTCTTAAATTAATTCACTCAATTAACTATCGCTAGCTAAATATTTATTAGTATACCATAGTTTTCAACCATTTACAGCAGAAGAGGCAAAATAATAATTGCCAAAAAGATTTATCAAGGTAAAAATGAGTACGAAAAAAGCATATTAAAGAAAGAATACGGAGAAAAAACATATCCAACACATAGTTAGTTATTCATATGTTTTGACATATGTTATTATACCATATACCATATAGATTATGAGTAATAAAGAATTTATGCGTAGATGCCTTGTGTTTTATTTATTTTATTTTATTTTATTGAAAAAATAGTTGAAGAGGCCCACACAGTTTAGAGGAGCATTTTCCGACTAAATTGCATAAACATCTTCAACTTATTTTTGTATATTATTCAAGACTATATAAAAAAATTATGTTTTTATTCCACAAACAATGTAAAACTTCAACAATAATGTTATACATCACTTAAAGTGATATTGCAATTTTCATAAATTGATTACTACATCTAGTAAATTCTAGAATACTGTGTCCTCTTCAGTAGGTGTTTGCTTCTTCCTGATGTACAAGAAATTCAAGAGCATAATTGGAAAATTTTCAAATAATTGTCATTTTTCATACACAACACTGCTACTAGTTGTCTTAGACAATACTCCCTCCATTTCATATTAACTTATGAAATTTTTTTCATTGTTCAAAATAATTAAATTATTCGAGTTCAAGATGGATGTTTGAAATTTTTTCCATATGTACCCTTTACTTTAGTGAAGTTTGATATTTTCTAGGAGATAAATTGCATTATTTATCAAGTTATATTTATGATTTCACAAAAGATAATAGTGAAAAATATTATTTAAATTATGTCCTTAAATGCTTTTCTTAAGTGTGCATTGTATCATAAATTCAATTAATATGGAATAGAGGGAGTATATCATATGGTCACTCAACTAAGATTTTCCTCTTCTTATAAAAAATCACTTAACTTTCTTTGATAACCTTGAAGTCATTCAACTATGAATATTTTACCTACAAAATCACCCAACCTATTTAACCGATTTTTTTCATGGGAAGCTTACAAAAACCACATTAGTTTAGGAGCTAATTACTTAAATACATGTCTAGTTTGCAATATTACAAATCTTACTAGATTTTGGTGCATTTAGTGATTCAGATGTGTCCCAGTCCAAATACATGTATCTCGAGATAGATGAGTCAAAATTAAGTGTAATTTTTTTAGTGTATCTGATTATCTGGTAGCAAAAATACATGTATTTAAGTGTATCTGACTCAGTATATGATAGAAAACTCATAATGAATGATAAGATACATAATTATTTAAAAATATAGATTGAATATTTAATATATATAATATGAATGTATGTCTAATAATGTAATTTTCCTTTTTTTTTCATTAGAATTTGCTGCAATTTTTTATTTACTATATATGGTAGTTTTCAGCCATTCAAAGCATAAGAGGCTAAATAATAAATGCAAAAATCAGATTTACTAATGTAAAAATGAGTATGGAAAAAGAATATTAAGGAAAGAATACGGAGAACAAATCAATCCAACAATATGTAGTACTTATTCATAAGTTATTACAATATAACATAACTACAAAAGTATTTTACGCGTAAACGCTTTGTGTTATACTTTTTAATCTCAAAAAGAACGATTGAACAGTATATTGAATTGCATTAAAATATTCAACTAACAAATTTTGCTTCCGAACTTAAGCGCGCCTTTGACAACTCTGGCCCACGGATTAAATGATTCATACTGTCCCAAGAAGAGAATTGAAGGCTCTCTAATCAAATTTAGCTGTGAATGTCTTCAAGTGACAACTTCTTCTCCTGTTTCATCCAAATATAAATTAATAACACATTTATTATATAAGAGAAAATGAAGAAAGTTATGTAGGATTGGGATTTGTTTGTATATTTACCTTTGCGATTATCAAATAAGACTTCATATATGTTTAAAAGGCTTCACGTCTTTCATTCTCTCTGGAATCTCCTTCAGCATTGGACAATGATCGATACAAACACCTTTAATCAGAGGCATGGCACTTGTGGTTAAATGCCATTTTTCTAGCTTTCGAAGATTGTAAAGAGTAAGGAACTCTAGTTGACTGAAGTTGTTATTATCATTGCACATTATTTCTTTTCCTTCATAAGCTTTGAACAAATCGAGATTCCTTAGGTTTGGCAACATTCCCAAAATAGGCATCGGATCTTCTGTCAATTTTGAGTCCCTCAGAACCATCATTGTGATGGAATTTGGAAACAGATGAGGCAGTTTCTCGATTCTCCCTTTTAACCTCAATTTCTGGAGCTTTTCACAATAATTAACAAATTCAAGGGATGGGAATGATTTACCATCTCTACAAAACAATGAGAGAGTGCTAAGGTTTTTCAAGCTGCTAATGTTGTTTAGGGAGAAAGATTTGTTAATATAACGCATGCTTAATTCTCGAAGATTGACTAAATCAACAGGGTCAACATCTTTCCACTGATCACAATGGACGCCTTTAAGAACCTGAAGACTAGTGAGTTTGCTTATACGTTTCAGAGGTTTAGAAAATGGAGCAACTAAATGTCTTAGATTTATTAGGTCAGCTGTCTCGCGGGGTAGTTCACAAGAGTATCTGCCCTCATTGATAACAAGTGTCTGTAGATTCTTGAGGTTGCCAATGGAAGTGGGAAGATCATCGATACGACCTTTCAATCTTAAGAACTTGAGGTGGTACAAACTTCCTATGGCATTAGGTACTAATACAAAAAACATATTGTCAACACGCATCTCCAAGTACAACACATATAGATGTTGGAACACACTACTGGAGTTTTTAAGACTCATATTACGAAAATCTGGATCGAAGAACATAATCGACCTCAACTTTAAGTTAGAGAGATCAAGTGAGAGGTACCTTTCTCCTTGACTATGAATGACGTGTCTGATACATAAAGAGGATATGGAGTTGCTTCTTGGATCATAAGCGTCAAAGAAGTTTACCTCCGATGCCTTTTGTATGGCAAGATCACGGAGTAAATCATGAACCCTACATTTAGTAACTTTTTCCCAAAATGTTTTAGCCACCTGAACCAAGCTTCGTCTTATCAGCTCATTCAAGAAACCTTCAGCAACATCCTCCATTCTTTCTTTTCCTCTTGGTATGAAACCCTCGGCCATCCACAACCATATTATGTTTTCAGCCTCGAGCACTTGATCTTCTGGAAAAATACCAAAGTACAGAAAACACTGCTTGAGCACAGTTGACAAATCATTGTAGCTTAATGATAGTATATTGGAGATTTCAATAGATTTATCTTCAATAATGTTCTTCCAAAGGTAGTCTTTCACCTTTTGCCATTCGTCTGGCCCCTTTTTATGCGAAAGTAGTCCGCTCAATACAACAATTGCAAGAGGTAAGCCTCTACACTTTTCCACCATATCCTTAGCAAGACTTTCCATTGCTGGAACCATTGCTCGAACATCAAGTAATTTCCTACAAAAGAGATCCCAACTTTCTTCTTGGCTTAGGAAACGAAGTTTATGGACAAAACCTCTGTCGTCTGCTCTTTCAGCGACATCTTCTTTGCGTGTAGTAATAATAACTCGGCTGCCATTCTTGCTATCCGGGAATGCTCTTTTCAAACTCTCCCATGCTTCTCTCTGCCACACATCATCAACCACCACAAGGTATTTGCTTTCTGTTAATAGCTTACGAAGGTAAACTTCTAGATCCATTTCTGCCATCTTTTCCAACAAATCTAGAGTTTCCTTGGCACAACCTTGGATAGATTTTATGATAGTCTTGAGAAGATCTATTGTGTTGTACTCTTGAGAAACACATATCCAAGCACGTGTAAAGAAGGTAGAGGCTATATTAGGACTTGTATAGAGGTTTCTTGCAAGAGTGGTCTTGCCTAAACCGCCCATTCCATAAATGGAGAGAACTCTTCGACGAGGCTCTGCTTTGAGAAGTTCATCTAGTAATGCTTGTACAACATCCTGAAAGCCAACAAAAATGTGATCCTCATCTATATATGAGGTAGTTCTCCTCAATGTTCTAACCTGATTACTTGTCCCTTCTCCATCATTATTGATATTTGTAATACCATAAGTCTCTCGTTTGCGAATGATACCCATGATTCGTTTCTTGATTGATTGAATCTCCTTGGCGACATTGTAGAATTTCTTCTCCTTCCTACAGATGCAAGCACAAGCCTTGAAACGATTAGCAAATCCATCCTCATTGCCTTTACCAGCCTCCAAGCTGTAAGTCTCGAGTACAGCGACAGCATCATTAGCAATAGTATTGATATCCACCACCAATTGCTTAACCGTTTGATCTCCACTTTGTTTTTGTTCTGCATCTCTGAGGAAAGCCTGCATGGAGAGTAGCTCACTTTGCAGCCACTGTATATCCTCTTTTAGACTTAAACGTAGGTTAAATTCCTGTATGAGGAAATCACCCAATTTTTGAACTGCAAATGACACAGAGGCATCAGCCATCTTCAGGGGTACTGCTGATTTTTATCTGGAAAAGAAGGGGTTGTATGTCTACAAGTTGAAAAAAATGGGAGATACACACTCAGAAGCAATAGATATAAAAGTAAGAAAGAACAAATAATGTTTTCAAAGGGTCCACTTTTATGTGTTTAAACTAGAAGCACTTAGGCTCACAAAAACCATATGCTACAACAAGTTTTAATTTAATTCAAACTGAAAAGCATATGAACAAGTGGTGCGAAACTATAATGTATGATGATGGCTTATTAATCAAATTGTTATATAATACAATAAAATGGCTCATTTTCTAACTTGAGCTATCAATTATTAGAATATGAAATTGATACTACTTGCAATTTCATTTTCTCTCACAAAGTACAACTTTAACTTTTGATTCCATTTTGCATAATGAGGTCTTTATCTCTATTTCCACCCCCTTTCCCTCAACTTGATTTTCTTTTATATATAATATATTTATGTATTTAAACCTCTTCAACAACCATTACACAACTTGTTGGAAAAAATGGGTCTGTTTGGTAGGACGGAAAATGTTTTCTCAGAAAACAAGTGGACTTATTTTCTCCTGTTTGCTTGTTGAGTAGAAAATATTTTAAATATTTGGTTGGTGAATGAAAAATAATTTTCAGAAAATATCTTTTATTTTTAGCTTGAGACTAGAAAATACTCTTTAGAAAAATAATTTCTTATCCGAATATCAACCCCAATAATTGATCTAGGATCCGATCCTGACACCTGAACTAGGAAAAGACCCTGATGACCGTTCCAAAATCCGACCATGAGATCTGACCGAAGACCTAACCCACGAAAATATTTTTCAAACATAAAAATATTTTTTAAGAAAATAACGGGGTGGCCTAAGTGAGGGGTTGAGGGTGATTTAAAATATTTTTGAAAAAAAATTAATTTTTTTATAGGGTGGCCTGGATTTGGGGGTGGGGGGTAGCATAAGAAATGAAAAAAATAAATTAAATTAGAGATATTTTTCAAAAATATTTTCTTAAAATATAATTGACGGGAGGGGTCAGGGTATGAGTGGAGTAAAAATGAAATTTTAAAAAATTTGAAATATTCTTCCAAAATAATTTTTTGTTTTTTTGGGGTGGGGTGGGAGGGATAGGGATAGTAGGGGTTGAGTGAGGTAAAAAAATCTTAAAATTTGAAATATTTTCAAAAATAATTTTAAAATTTTTTTTTTGTGGGAGAGGGGCTTGTTTGGAGGTAGGGGAAAAATATATTGGCAAAAGTACTCATTACCCCCCAGAACTTGAAGCTTTTTATATGGTGTACACCGAAACTAAATTCCGTTTTAATTACCCCCCCAAATTTGTTTATTCCTCCGTCGCGTACACCTTTATTGTCCACCTGGCGTAGAAATTGACAACACACTCTACTAGGCGCGTGAGGAAGTGATTTTTTGCCACATCATAACGCTACAACGGTAAAAAAACATAAAATCTTCATTTTTCTTTAATATTTGGCATATTTTAGACGAAAAATAGGGCAAAATGTAAATGAAAAGTAAAGGAAACAAAGATTAACACTTACTTGGTAAGAATTTCAAACAAATTTGAAATTTAATCGACCAACTTCACGTCTAGAAAAACCCAAATCCAGAAGGAGTTCCGCGAAATCAACCCTTATTCAAAAATAACTTTTAAACAATGAGTAAATTTAAGAAAAACTATCCAATGAATATTATTCCCAACAATAAAAGTCTTGTGCTGGTATTTAATCTGAGTTCTCCGGTACTAAATATTAATTTCTTGAAGATTTTCGAGTTTAGTTCGAAAGTTTTAGTGAGAAGAGAAGGTGAGAAGGTTTGATATTTATTTTTTGTCATATTAATTTATCTAGGTGGCTATTATTTATCCAGGTGGAAATCCAACTTTTGCCAGCTGTCGTGCGCGTGTAGTCACAATAGGAGCAGGTGGACAATAAAGGTGTACGCGACGGAGGAATAAACAAGTTCGGGGGGTAATTAAAATGAAATTTAGTTTAGGTGTACATTATATAAAAAGCTTCAATTTCAGGGGGGTAATGAGTACTTTTGCCAAATATATTAGAAATTCAAAAAATGAGAAAATTTTAATTTTTTTTTTTTTTTGGATGGAGAGGGTTGGGTTCGGGGTATGGGGTAGGGTAAAAAAAATATTGAATGATGAAGTAGAGTTTTAGAAAATGTTTTCCTTAATTTTTGAAGAAAAATCATTTTTTCTTTAAATTTGAGATAACTGAGTTGATTAAAAAAACATTTTCCAAAATAGTTAAGTCAACCAAATATGAAAAAATTAAAAAACATTTTTCATGTTTCCTTCATACCAAACACACACTCTCTCTATATATATATGGAGAAAAGTCTAAAAAGTAATAACCATATGTGTATGTACAATTAATGATATGGTCCACCTAATTAATTGATGTCGTTTAAAGAAAAGTCATCCAAAAAATCTGCACTAAAGAAAATTAGGGGAGTTGACGATGACTACGAGGAAATAATTGCCGTTTGTGAATGGTGATGGTGATTATCGATATTTAATGGTGATTAAATATAATGATTCATGAATTTTTTGGTAATGATAGTGGTATTAAATACTCTCTCCATTTTATCTTAATTTAATTTTTGAGATGTTTCACATCCTTTAAGAAAAGTAGATTAAGACATAAATTAAACATAGTTCTCCATTTTTACCCTTATTATTTATTGTCAAATTTATGATTAAAAAAACTAAATATTAATTAATCACTAATTCCAATACTAACTAATGAAGGGTAAAATTGGAAGAACACTCTAAAAGTAGTCTTGAAAACTGAACAATTAAGTTAATTTGAAAAATGGAAAATGCCTCAAAAATTAAATTAATATGAAATGGAGGGAGTATCTAATAATTTTATTTTATCATTTATTTTAACTTTATTATAATAGCTTTATCAGACATTTTGTTTTTCATGTAATTTGTCCTTCAAATTATTGATTTGTGACAATATGTAGTAATTAAAAACGATACAATCTATTTAAATATTGTATTCATAAAAAAATCAGAGTACAATATAATACAACACGATATCATATACTCCCTTCGTCTAACAATAATTGTTCACTATATTATTTTGGGATGTCCAACAATACTTGTCTGTAGTGATGGCAATGGTCGGGCGGATGTGGGGCAGGTTTAAGATTATGCGGGGAGGGAGGGATTATCTATTAAATTATATATCCAAGTATTACACAATATTTTACTTATATACACCGTATAATTTTCCTGACGAAGGGTGTTCGGCTGACCACACTTACTTGGTTGTGGCTCTGCCCCTGGCAGGGCGGGGCAGGTTTAAGGTTGTGCGGGGCGGGAGGGATAATCTATTAAAATAATATAACTTGATGAAAAAATAAATTTTATTTTTATAACTTTTTTTTTAGTATCAAACTTAACTAGAAAAAGAAATAAAAAAATATGTGGAGCGGGTCTATGCAGGCGGCTTGAAAATGAAAAAAAGTTGTTATGTGGGGTTGGGCGGGGCAAACTAAAATTTTTGCAGGTTAAGCACAATCCGCCTCGCCCCCGTCTGCACTGCCCCATTGTCAACCCTACTTGTCCACTTTATAAAATGGCATAATACATAAATATGCCCTTTAACTTGGCCTCATTTCACATTTATGCCCTTCAACTTTGGAAGTGCACAAGTAGACACTTAAACTTGTATAAAATTGTACAAATAGACACACACATCCTACGTGACATCCTACGTGACAATTTGCATCCTACGTGGTGTCCTACGTGTTTTATGCCACGTATGTGTAACATCCGGCAATTTGAAATAACTATGAAGAGGCATAGAATTGGAAATAGTCATTTTTTTTTTAGAAAAATTCAAATCTGGAAATTTGGTTAAGTATGGAAAAAAGTGAGTTTTGGGTCAACTTTGAACAGTCATAACTCCTATCTCAGGATGATTTAGGTGTAGTTCCAGTTATGTTTACGAAGCTCGTGGAATGATCTTTCCAACGCTGCCGAGTTTGCTTGATTCCGAATTTGTACGAGTGAGTTATGCCCTTTGGAAGTTGGGCTGTTGGCATAGGGCAGTTTAGTCCGAATTTGTAAGGGTATTTTGGTCTTTTCCCTAACCATTTCTTTTGGTTATATTAAGGGTCTAGACTGATTTTAAATCAGTTTTCCCTTTTAAAAGTGAGAGTTAGGGCTTTTGAGAGAAGAGGAGAAGAAGAGGAGAAAGAGAAGGAAAAGCAAGGTTCGTCAAGATCGTCGTGGTTTTCGTCGGGGGTGATCCCTATTCAGGTATGTGAGATCATAGTGTTGGGTTGGTTCTTTCCCCCACACGCCAAACTCGTTTTAATTTCGAGAAAAGCTTGGTTGTGTTGTTGAAAAAGATTGGTTGTGTTTGTTGAAGTTTCTTGTTGGTTTGGTGTATGTTTCCGGTTGTGATTTTGAGTTAAATCTATTGTATAGTAAGGGGATTTATGATTCTAAGTGTTTGGGGCTGGAAACTTTGAAGTTAAGAAGGTTTAGAGTTGGAAAATCAAGGGGGAAAAGTCAAATTTTCGGGGAAAAGGGCTGGGGCGTCGCGCCTGCCAGCGCGCCCCAAAAGGGACTCTGAAGTCCAGCCCTTGGGGTGGTGCGCCTATCAGAGCGCCCCAGCAGCCCCTCTGAAGTCTGAAGGCTGGCGCCCCGCGCCTCTCAGAGCGCCAAGGACGCCAACCTTTCCCATTCATTCCCCTCTTTTTCATGCATGTTCCTTGGTAATGTACCTATGTTTCATAGTTGTTTTCAACACTCCAAGGTACTTCTAAACGTCAAGAAGTCATCCATAAACATGAGATCATTACCCTTGAATTCATAATCCAATTCGAGGAAAGTTCGGATCAAAGTTAAGTGAAGTTAGAGTCAAGTCTAGAAGTTAAGAAGCAAGTTAAAGCAAGTCTTTAAAGTTGTTCAAGAGTCTTTATTGAACGTTTTAACTTCATTTTA